GCCCTGTCCAAAAAATTAATTGGAAAAAAAGGACAGAGCAGCTGACTAAGCGGCCAGTGGAGTGGGCACATGTCTTAAATTGAACCCAGGGGCTCCGCGGAGCTCAGTCGTCTCGGTGTTTCCAGGCTTCGGGGCACTTCGTGGCACTTACACCACAAGTCTAAACCCAGTGTTCTCATCCAGATACCCTTTCAGGTACCGAAATTTGGCACAGATGGGTTCAACGTGAATGGGTGAGTTGGTAGTACCAATGCAATTCGGTCGGTACCTCTAAATGTACTGAGTTCAGTACCCAACCTTGGTAAGATAGGTAGATAATCAAAAAAACTTTGAATCTCTGTCATATAAAAATAACAGTTATCTGCATATATATATATAAAAAACAGAGAAACAAAGGAAAAAACATCTGAAAAGATTTCTTTCAGATGACCTCTTTGCACCAGTGGCTGGCTGAATGGTGCAACCATGACAAGGTGTTTATAGACAACATCTTGGTCAGAACAGGCCTGTTTCAAAGAAATGGCACACACCCTTGCCAGAAGGAAATGGACTGAAAAAAAAAAAACAGATGAAAGGCTCCATTGCCTGTGACAACCCAAGATGCCTGTGGCACAGATGATGTAATTTAGCTCCACTCCAGTTTAATCTTGTTTTCAATTCCCGCCATGAGTCCTTGTAATGAGACGGTGTGCGTCCCAGGCCTCGTCACCAGAACACCTATATTTCCCAGACCTGCTGGAGTCTGCCAAAACCATCTTCTCCTGTGTGATTTGCCCTTTAAATATTAGATCACAGCTGCCTGCGGCATTACTCATTAATATTACACATTAGATTTCTCTCAGATTATCTGAAGGCTTGTTTACACCCTATACCTCCTTTTTACTGGGTGACTTAGAGGCTGTGTTTTTATACCGTTTTACTGGTTGATATTTGAAAGAAGTCGGGTATCTTCTGGGTGTGTGTTTGAGCCAGGCTGCCATGCAACCCTCAGGTCAGTTCTGTCTGTGTCCAAGTAGAGACGACAGAAAGGGCACTGGGCTATTGCTTAACTCTGTTACTCTGTCACAGATAGCTGTGCACTGAATGGCCCCGAGGGGCGGGGGGTGATTGTCTGAAAATATGTGTGTTTGTGTGTGTGTGTGTGTGTGTGTGTGTGTGTCAGTGTTCAGAGGGGAAATCAGTGCACAAAGACTTGCAGATTGCCTCGGGTCATATGTGCTGCACCGGTTAAGTGGACATCAATGATGCAGCAGCCACACACCCATGCAAAAGCAAGCACATCAAACCTCTTAGTTTCTTCTGCTGAGCCCCTGTAGTGAAACGGGAAGCCTTTGCATTATTGATAGTCTTGTCCTGTAAAGCACTGAACTTGCTCGACCTGCCCGTAACGTTACACCCGGCAGTCAAACAAAAACAATTTGTTAAAGTAATTGCTTTAATCAGACAAATTGACACAAGCATGGAATGTGCTTACAAGGGATACGATTACCGATTCCTACGAATGATCACCCTAGGGCCAAATTTTGATTACAGAGGTTACATCCTTAAACTAACAGAGTTTCACATGCAATGTTGTTTTCACAGATTGCTGTACGACAAAAAAAAAAAAAAAAAAAAAACATTAAAAGAGCTATATTTTTTTCTCTAGACTTTTAATAACAAACATTCAAGCACTTTCTGCTATTTAATTTTATAGTCAACCACACTGCATTCAGTTTGCCTTTAAAAATACAGTGTTGCGGTGCCTGGAGGCATACAGCACACTACCAAAATAAATTTGGCATGGTGTTCACACATGCTCCTAATAAATTAAAAAAATACAGCAGGCAACAAGTTGTATCAAAGTTCTATCAACAGTTCTGCACACAGTAACTTCTACCTTTTTGCACCAGTTTAAATGGTAATTTCAACAATAATGTAAAAGTTGTCACGAGATGCAGTCATCTAGTGGTTTGAGCAGCAAGCCTGTGACCAGACACACAACCGCTCCAATGCCTGTGAAACTGGGAGACGAATCAAGTGTGAGTTCTCTCCTCAAAGATGGCACACTCAAACTGAATCTCAAACTGCACCACTGAATGTGCTCTGCGGCAAACTACTACACCGACTATACAGAGCAACTCTCACGTGAGTATATGTGCATATCTGCAGCCTACCCTGCCCTTGAAATAACACCCTGAGGCGGTGGCTGCGAGGAACAATTTATTCATGGTAATCCTGTCCCGTCAAACCAAGGCTAGCCGCTCATGACGAGCTTGCTGCTGAAAAGATCTGGGGGCTCTTGTTGGCATCTCTGTGCACACTTTGTTTCTTCCGGTCGAGGAGTTATAAAACACAGACATGAGTCATAAAATGCAGGTAGCCTAGATACTGCAGATCTTCAGGATATTTGCTGGCCATGGGAGTTAGTGCCTTCCTGGATTGCACGCCCGGGAGGCAGCAAGCCATGTAATATGTGTGGTTGCCCCTGGCAACAGATCTGCTAAGTGCACAAAAAATGTATATCAAAAGGAAGCATCAAATATTCTAATATAGGAGAGATAACATGCTCATGTATTTTTAAAGGAATTTGCTTTGTGGTGACCATGTGGTCACATGAATTATTATAATGCCGTGAAACCACACACAGTGCCAGCATGAAAAACAGGCTGAGAATAATTTAACACTGGAGCTGTAAGTGAAGTCTGCTCTAGTCAGACGGGATTTCTACATATTAATTCCTCTTCTGTGAGGTACTGTTACTACATTTGATGAGTGCACAATGTCTACAACAACACATTATCCTTATGGAAGTGTGGCAATGTCAACTAGCTCTAAAGTAAAAGGCTAAATAAGATCTGCATGATCACATCAAGCAGCAGATTTAAAAGAAATATTTGGCACTTGATACAAAAACGTGAGAAAGATATTTAAAGGGACAGTTCACCCCAAAACCAAGAACACACATTCTACCTCTCACCTGTATTATTATTTATCTGTAAAGTTTGTTTTGGTGTGAGTTGCATCTGCTGCTAGCTCACTTAGCATCACTGAGCTAGCTAACTATTTGCCAAACTACACCCAGCAACAGTATCACTGCGCAGAAGGAAACGAGCATCTACTGCTAGCTCACTACTGCTAACTAGCTAATGTTAACTCTAAGTTAATGTTTACATCTCGGGCTGTTACAAACACAAGCTTCTCGTCCATGCGCTTTGAGCTCTGCAAGTAAAAGCAAAAATAGGTATTTCTGATTTATGGATGAAGTGTCCCTTTAATGTATTTAACAGGAATGAATGAGGAGTTTCGATTCATTAACAAAGATGTAGTTGTGATGTCACTGCAGCCCACAGGTGTCAAAGGTCATTAAAAATCAACTCTCTTGCTAATGATGAACCTGATGTCCCCTCACTGCTCTGCACCCCTTTGCCTGCTTGAATAGTGAATCTAATAGCTCAGACTATTTTCTGCCGTTACAGCTTCTGTGTCATCCATGGCGTGCTCTATTTAAAGAGTCTGGGTTGATGATCTTGAATGACACACTGACATATCTCCAGTTACAGAGGCTAGGCCGTGCCACTGTAATGCTGAGAGGCTATGTAATGCCCGGCAGGCAAGCAGGCATGTAAATGGAGTTTCACACTTAGCAAGCAGGTAAGCAGCGGCTGATGGCGCATAGCCGATACTTGCAGCCCATGAAGAGGCAAATGGGAGACCTTATTGAAATTGTCATAGATGGGTGTCATCTCAAATGATTTTGGCGATCCAGTGACAGACTTTTTAATGCATTTAATGTTTGCAACAGAAAACTACATTATACCAAAGCCCCCCTTTTTTAAGTAGATTAAATTACCCAGCAGAAACTAAAGTACATAATATATCACTGCATGAACTGTAGAGCTTCACTTATAAATGTCAGTTCATTAAATAATATCAAGAAGCTAAACTAATTTAAATCAGCGTGTGCTCAGTAAACCTGGGCTGCTATTAAAATTCTATCTAGAGTCTTGTTTTTCTTTTAAGTGTTCTCATTAATTCAGACAGGTGCGAGCAACCAGCTGTTAGTACTGTGTGTATCTTTTTGTCTGGCCAAGACAGATGTAGGTGTGCTGGCTTTGGCCAGCAGTCCTACATTTCCCATCTGTCTCCAGGCCGGAGCAGGTCATTGCTAATAGCACAGTAATCTGCCAATCGGCTTTTCTATGAACTCAGTCCTGCTGGGAGATTTAGAATTATTATTATTTAACGTTATACTATGAACTCCATAAGCCCCCCCGGGAGGTCACTGTCAGTATGTTATGATGTCACAACCTGTTTTTCAAAAAATGTTACGTTTGAAAGGAAAGGATATTGACTTTGAATGCATTATCACAGGGGGAGAATAATCTAAAGTTTAGCTCTCCTTGTGGGGTTTGGGAGTGTGACTCACTAAGTGGAATATTTAAATCACAGTGACACGACTGGAGCATTAACATTGGATGAATTGAATTAGCCACCTGTTGCTGCTATGATTCAATCATGAGTCGACTAACTTTAACATTTAAACGGATTTCTCTGAGCAGATACTAACACAGTAAAAGATTACAGCCCTTCTTTTGAGATCTATCAAAATAAAGATGCTTGTATTATCAATTTAACTATATAGTTTTCTTTTTTATGCGAGTCTGTTTGTTGTGATTAATATTTCACTGTCATCAACATCACAATAAAAAGGCCTGATTTTATCATTCCAACCATCTACGTGTCGCTCAAACAAAAACATGGAAAGTGATGCTCGTCAGAGGAAGAGTGAGTTCCAGTATTCCTCCCTCTGCTGCAGTGCTTCATAATACAACATGGATGCATGGCAGCTCGACAGTACAGCTGTCGAAGAGGGTGAGAGTGTTCAGAAGAGAGGCAGGCCCGGTTGGCACGGCTGCATATTGGTGACACTGCGTATGCACTTCAGTATAATGACAGGAAAAAGGCGCCTCCTCACCGACAAACACGTGAGTGGCAACAGCTGGGCTTTGGTTACTTACATCTGTGTCGGGCCCCTTATCTGCCCCTGGGCAGCAGAATGTGACTAATTCATGGCACCTCTTGTGGACCACAAAACAGCAAACTGCAGGGGGAGAGAAGAGAGACGAGAGGAGGCTGTTAACAGAGAGAGATGGGGAGGGAAAGTAATATACAGACAGATGGGAGAGCAACAGACAAACAAAACGAAGAGGAAAAATGAGATAGTTAAAATACAGTGTATCATTGTTGATTAATACATGGACAGACAGCAAAAAGAGAAATAGATCTGATAACACTGAGAGGGACTGAAAAACCACTGATGTCTGGGCTAGGCTCTTTACCATGTGTCCAGATGGCCAGTCCTGCCTGCAGGCTGACTGCTCTTATTGTACAGTACAGTGCCACCTCCTCACTGACATGACAGGAGCTAAAGCAGACACACACACACACACACACACACACACACACACACAAAGCACACTCAAACACATCCTCAAACTGACACAATTACTGAATATGTGTCCACATCCAGGCCTACACACTTGAATACATCTGCACACACTGTCATTCACATGCAGGTCTGAGTGCCAGGTCCCTGGGTGCACTGCAGGCTGCAGCCAAGCAAGCAGCAGACTCCAAGAGGAGGATGGCGCCTGTTACTTGCTCTCAAGAAACGTCTGACACCAAGACGAGACAGGGTGAGGGGGCTAATGATGTGTGAGCTGGCCGGTATACATAACAAAACCTGCATATTCTCACTGTTTCTTTGCACGTCTGTCTCATTTGTTGACCATAGATGCATCTGCATATTTCAGCTCCTCTTTCCTTCTGATAGACAAGAGGGCCCCTCCCTCTCTTCCCCGGTGCTTAATGTTTTCAAGGCCGACACTTGCGGCATGAGATGAGAGCATCTGAATTGGTGGTTTTCAATAGGCTTCGCTTAGCGCTGAGTGACCCTGAGTAGACTCCATTAGTGGTTTTGTGTTGCATCAGTGATGCGATGCATTTTCAGAGACCTTGCTTGATTTTCAGTTTTCTACAGTTTCACTATTGTTTCAGCAGCGGAGCAAAGTAATACGCAGCATCATGCATACACCTACAGATCACCTCTCGTCTTTTCACTGCATCTCTCTTCAACGGCTCAACCCAAACACAAATAGCTGAGTACTGAGTGAGCTGTGACAGCCAGACATAGAGGGAAAAAAGCCTCGCACAGAAACCCTGCCTTCATCAACAAAGAATAAAAAAACAAAGTTGCACAAACCCCCTAAATTAACACTGACTGTCAGGTGGCACGTAAAGAAAAAGGGTGTCACTAAAATTGAACATCATCTGAGTTTGTTTGTCACCGTTATCATCTGGACAACTCAAACTTTTTCTCAATTGATGCATTATGTATTGCTTCCAGTTAAATATCCATTTATGTGTCCTCATTCAGTCTAAAAGTCTTAATCATGATTTAGACACGCAAACACAAACTGAGTGATGATGACAGTGCTGCTGTTCAGATTATGGTAATTACTTATGACTTCTGATCACTGTTGTTTTGGGGTGAGTCAGACCTTCTACACCCATCCACCATCTGTCCCGTCAGAGAGCCGCCTCCCCTTGAATCATGAATAAAGGCAGAAATTTGTGATTGTAACACCCCATAAACATAGTGCATATGTGCAATACTGGCTGAGATCATCGTTTTTATTTAAAACCTTATCAGATTCACTGAAAAGTGGCTCATAAATCATGTTCGTATGACACATTATTGTGCATAAGTCATAACTCACAGAGGGAATGATTTCTGTGTTGTCACAATGCACATGAGCTCCACAGATTAGTTGAGTCTGAGCCACACATACTGATTTCTGCTTGCATGTCTTCCCACAAGAGGCTTTATACATATTTTATATGGTATGTTACATTACATACTGAGCCATTGGTCATCAGGTTCAAAATATGCAAATATCATTGCTGCATAATGCTAAAACATTGCCTGCTCCTTTAATGTTTATTAATGTCGCGTGTTGCTCTACTGTTGCTGTTCTTCATTAGACATATGACAGCAGGTTGGCTTGTTTGTTTGCAGCCACACTGCTGCCAGACATGTGTTGTTAGCATTCGGCGTGCTCACTCTGTCACATCAGGTTTTTTCAGAAGGCCGCTAAGAAATCAATATTTACTGACCCACAGCTGTAAAAAATATCAGTGTTCAGCAGGGAATTGGCAGTGTCAAGCCCTGCTAGAAACAATATGATAATATAGGAAGGAAATGCATTTACTGCAGTGCATACTGGTTAAAAATAGTGGAAATTACCTGAGTACTTGTATCTATCAGAACATGTAGACATAATATCCCCTACAGTACATACAGTGTTTTTCAGTAGTGGCAGACGTCCAGTTTAAACAGTGCTTGGGTCAATACCAACAGTATTGTATGCATGTCTGCTCTGGATACCAGTAACATGGTGAAATTCTCCTTTTTGCACAAGAATATCAGAACATAAACCTCAAAACTATCACTGCTGATAGCAATGGTAATGTTTATATGTAGCTGAACATTTGATGCTTTTTCAGAACTTGGCAGGTCCCACCAAGCCCATGCCAGTTAACTACAGACATGTTTTTCTTTGGAGCATGAATGTTCCTGATCTATATCATGGCTGCAGTTGTAAATATTCACACAGCAGCTCTAGTAGTTCTTGTTTTCCCAGCCCAGATTTCACTAGCAACAGATACTAGTTGGGTTTCCGTCCACATAAAGCCCAAATTTTAACCAAAGGTTCAGAAAATCTGCATAAGAAAATGTGAATTTATGCTTTTCTATTCACCACTGTTATGCGACTATTGTGAGTAGATTGAGATAAGCAGCAGGTGGCACTAACTCTCCAATGAGGTGCCAATATATCACTGCAGAATGGGGGAGGGGGGGTTCTGGTAATAGCCACGTGTGCTTTCGTAAACACGTTAAAAGCCATCCAGAGATGACGACAAAAAGCTCGCAGTGGCCTACGCAATGACAGTACATTGTCGTGAATGTTACTATGGAGATCTGGCCCCGATGAGCAGAGCCCGCTGAATCACCATCGGACCAATCAGATCCGTCTATCTGACAGAGGCGGGCTCTAGGCGGGCGTAACATGGTGAGGACAGCACTGCGCCATAGAATTCGAAAAGTAAATGGCCAAGATGGCAGCTGCCGAAGGACCGCGTCTATTCAGTTTAGCTTTGGAAGAAACGGTAAGCCAACGATACTTATCTTTTTCCTTGAGAGCGGAACAGGAGACTGCCCTAGAAGCCTTCGTTTCCAGGAAGGACGTTGTTGCCGTTTTTCCGACAGGATACGGCAAAAGGCATAATATATCAGTTAGCCCCACTGGTCGGCAAACAAATGGGGCTTAGTGCAATAAATACGTCACCTTGTTTTTTGCTCTGATTGGCTATCGTGCTATCCAGTTGCGTGCGGCGGCATTTGAAATGCCTCAGTTAGTGCCACCCCTTGGGTAGGAAGGGTGTTTCGGTGAGGGCCAGACTCCAAATCCTTCTAGATTTGAGTTTGGATTTCCAGGCTATTTTTTTGCCTCATCCAAGCTAGAAATTTTTTTGTGATATTTTAAGATTTTTTTCTAGTTTTTTGCGTTTCCATTCAGGGTTTTTTTTAAGTGCAAACTGAAAATACGCATCAAAAGAGGTGGATAAAAATGCACCTACAGTAACTCGACACTGTGGTCCCAAGCCAGCTTCTCTACCCATAATGCTACAATCAATAATTTGAAAACAACAACAAAACAAATACATGCCACAGTTTTGACTAGATCTGTATTCCATCCAAAAAGACTGACAATGGGATAATTTCTAATCTATACATACACAGTGCTTAACAGTTAAGAGTTAGGGTTGCCAACATGTTGATATTCACATGTTCTTCTTTGATGCCAAATCAATAAAACCCCCAAACAGGCATATCACACCACCACAACCCAGCCCCTACTACCCCCTCATTCCTCCTAGGAGCTATTGGTCAGTACAGTCAATAACCAACATGAAACCATGACCCATAGCTCACACCACCGCCAAACCACAAACCAGACAGGTCATAAATCTCAATGATTCAGTACCTCTATAATTCATCCTTCAGTAAATAGCTTATAGTCATGTGAGTAGCCCAGATTCACAACAACACTTAAAAGATCAAAGGCGTCGGTGGCTTAGTGGATAGACCAGGCACCCCATGTACAAGGCTGTTGCCGCAGCGGCCCGGGTTTGAATCCAGCCTGTGGCCCTTTGCTGCATGTCATTCCTCCCCCCTCTCTCTCCCCGCCTCACACTTACCTGTCCTGTCCATTAAAGGCAAAATGCCCAAAAAATATCTTTAAAAAAAAAAAAAAAGATCGAAGGCATACAGGGCTGTTTCAGCTGGCACTGCTTATACCAAAACTCTGTATTGTTTCTATTGATGAAGTTTGTGCTTCTGTATGGGGTGCTAGTTTCCTTGTCCATTAAGCTGTCAATGCTCATCAGCACCAATCGATTCTCATTGAAACTACTGGCTCTTCTGCTGCTAGCACTTCCATCACAGCACTGCATTTCTCCTACTAGACATCTGTATTCAAAACAGCTTATAGAAAAGGATTATATGAGGCGGGTATAGGAAGGAACACTATGTAACATATCAACCATTGCTTTTCATTTTAGAGACAGGAAAAGAAGGAGGGAGAAGGTATAAATGTGAGCCAGAGAGGTGGGGGGAGTAACAGGAGGAGGTCTGTAGAGGCCGAAGATGAAGGAGGTCGAAACTCGTCATCTTCTGCTGCTCTCATTAGAGCTTGGCTGCCTGTGACCACTTGTCCCAGTGGTCTAGTTCTGGGGCAACACATACATCACCTCTGACGCCATCTTAGTAGAACATCTCCATTAGGAGGCAACGGCACAAAGATACCTTTACAGTAACTGCATTTTTTGTCAGGGAATAATTTACTTTATATTTCAGCAATGGTGAGTGTTGATTAGTCTACTCATCAAGTTTATTCATCTTGTCATTTGGAAAGTTATTGAGCTGCAATGCTTATAAAGCATGAAAATGAGGCAGACAAAGGGCTCCATGGGTCAGGG